CTTGGGTATTGTGAATATGCCCAGCTAAGCAAGGGTATGAAGAGATTTCTATTTATTTATTTATTTATTTATTTATTTAGAGACAGGGTTTCTCTGTGTAGCCCTGGCTATCCGGGAACTCGCTCTGTAGACCAGACCGACCTTGACCTCACAGAGATCCACCTGCCTCCGGAGTGCTGGGATTAAAGGAGTGTGCCACCATTGCCTGGCAATGAGAGATTTCTGTAGTAAGCCCGGTTTTATTATTTTGGATATGTCTTCTGAAGTGGTACGAACAAATCATATAGTAATTTTCTTTTTTTTTTCTTTTTGCTTTTTCAAGAGAGGGTTTCTCTGTGTAACCCTAGGTGTCCTAGAACATACTTTGTAGACCAGGCTGGCCTCTAACTCAGAGATCTGCCTGCCTCTACCTCCCAAGTACTGGGATAAAAGGTGTGCGCCACCAACATGTAGCAATTTTATTTTCAATCTTCGGCATGTTTTGCCTATGGTTGTATCATCTCCATGTATGTCAGTGCACTCCATGCCTGCTTGCTGCCTTTGGTGTCAGATTCCCAGGTGGTTGTGAGCCACCACGTGGGTGCTGGAGATTGAAGCTGGGTCCTCTGGAGGAGCAGCCAGTGCTCTTCACCTCTCTCCTGTTGCTAGTTTCATTTTTTTTTTTTTTGAGGCGGGGGTCACTCCATATGGATTTCCATTGCCATTAATCTTGTTTAAAGACTTTTGTTTTCCTGTGATAGCTATCATGACTAAGATGAGAGAGACTCTCCGTAGCTTTGATTGATTGACACTTCCTTGGTGGCTAAAGATGTTTTCCTGGATTCATTGATCATTTTTGTCCATCTTCAGTTGAAAAGTGCCTACGGACTGATCCGATGATTTGTTCTTATTGTTTAACTTTTGAGTTCATTTTATATTTTGGCTAATAATTCCCTCTTGGATGAGTAACCTCTCACAGGTTTATCCCCCCGCCCAGTAAGTGGTTTGTCCAGTCTGCTATTCCATCTGTTATGCAGAAGACTTTCAATTTGATAAAATAATATTGAAGAAGTCTTGCTAGTATTTTCCAATACCAAAGTTGTACTCGAGAAGCCTTTTGCCTACGCTTGCCTCTTAAGGCTCCCCCCTGTATTTTCCTTTAATAGCTTAACATTTCAGGTCTCGCATTACTATTTTTATGTATTTATTTGTTTGTTTATTTATTTATTTATTATTGAGACAGGGTTTCTCTGTGCAGCTTTGGAGCCTGTTCTGCCTGTTGTTCTGCCGAGCAACACTTACGGGAACAAGGCTGTCCTTGAACTCAGAGATCCACCTGCTCCTGCCTCACGAGTGCGTGCGGGGGGGGGGGGGGGGATTAAAGGCAAATTTGTTCTTATATTGTTCTGTAGTAGCAAGTACAGTGAGGGTTTTTTTTTTCATACCCCAACATTCCTCTTCTCAGGATGGCTTTATTTGCCAGGCCTGGTGATGCACACCTGTAGTACACTCCTGAGTGTTTACTCAAGAGGCAGAGGCTGGCAGATCTCTGAGTTCAAGGCCAGCCTGGTCTATAGGTGAGTTCAGGACAGCCAGGACTGTACACAGTGAAACCCTGTCTCAAAACAAAACAAAACAAACAAACAAACAAAAGAGTAGCTCATATGCTCTTTGATGGGGAGTGAGAGCCAAACCTATCTGTGGGTATAAGTGTATGTATTTGGAATGTATTTAGGAATTATGATGTTCGAATAAAGTGGCTATAGTATGTTCTCTAAGTTCCATGATGTCACTAGCTCCCGGAAGCTGGTTAAGTTTGCAGTACCAGGAAGGATACTGGCAGTCCGTTGAGTGGGACATAAGTCTGTTTAGAGAGCTGTTGGTTACCACCCGGAAATGAATGTCACTATCGCACCTTTAGAAGTATCTTCCAGAGGTAGTCGGTTATTGTTGTGATTTATGCAGCAGACATAGACCATCACAGAAAAACACAGCTGGTCAGAACACAGAGAATAGTTGGGGTGCCCAGCTCCAATGGGTACAGCTACAACCTAACTCCTGCACCTAAGGCTTGGGGAACGTCACTGAAAAGAAAGCAGACAGATTATAAAAGTCGCAGGACTTGAAAGTCTGCTATGGGAGTGTGTTCCCTAGAAATGACAAGGGATACTGTAAAAATATGGATGCCTAAACAAGGCCCCCAAACGACAGCATCATTCGATAGGGTGGAAGGGGGGAATCTCACAGGGCCCCAACCCTAGACAAGGAACTACAAACAGCCCGATGCCAAGCCCTGAAATTACGTACATACAAGTAACACTAAGAAGACTCAATGGATTGTGGTTATATATTTATGTGTTTGTATGTATGTAGCAATAATGATCAAAGAAAGAGAGACCATGAATTTGAGAGGGAGGAAGTGGGGGATCAAAGGCAAAGGAAGAAATGATGTAACTATATTTTAATTTAATATATATATATATATATATATATATATATATATATATAAAGGTAATAGCTCATATCTGCAAATGGGGATACTTTATCCTTTTTTCTATCAAAATTTGTTTTACTTCTTTTTTCTTGTCTTTTTTTATAGACCAGACCCCATAAGTTGGCCATTTAAAAAAAATATTTATTTATTTATTATGTATATAGTATTCTGGCATGTATGTCTACACACCAGAAAAGGGCACCAAATCCCATTATAGATAGTTGTGAGCCCCCGTGTGGGTGCTGGAAGTTGAGCTCAGGACCTCCAGGAAGAGCAGCCAGTGCTCTTAACCTCGGAGCCATCTTTCCAGCCCTACTATTTTCACGTTTTACCGATTAGTTAAGATTAAGAGGAATGTTTGGGGTATTAATGAGGATGGACAGAAAGGACACCCTTTCTTCACTCTTGTACTTAGAAGACATGTGTTCACCCCGCCCCCACCCCCACCCCCATTCAGGATGATGTTGACTATCAGTTTGTTGCACGTAGCTTTTACTCCGTTTAGGCTTTGTTGCAGCAATAGAAACTCTTAAGTGAAGTAGTAAAGGCAAAAGAGCCCTCTGAAAAACGCCGGGGGCAGCCAGTGTGGTGAACCGCTGGACAGAGCTCAGAGAGGAACTCTGAGGTACTCAAGGAAGAAACCGGATGGGAAGACTTGGGCGGAGCACAACAATGCTGGACACAGAACTGGTCGAACCTGCAGCTTGATCGTGAGAGAGTAGCTGACTTAAGTGCGTGGCCACCAAAGGGCGGCTGGGGATCAGGAGCCGGCCCACACAGAGAGCAGTAGGGTTGCCCTCACGGTTCTGACTGCCTCACCACAGGAGTAGGGAAGGGATATTGTCTTTGGCCAGTCTTTCCCCCGGCCTTTTGGCGCCCTCTACAGATAAAGTTTAAGTTTGTGCGGGATTACTAGGGAGGTCCTCTAGGAGACTGCCTGGGTCCTAGAATAGTTAAGAATGGGGCCCAAGAAGAATCGTAAACTTACTGAAAAAGATCACGCATATTTGAAGCATGGATTTTGTAAGTGGCAACGCTGTGTTACAATGTGAAAAGCTTGGGCGAGCCTGTTGGCTACAGTGTCACAAAATAAGATCAAAGAAAAGAGAATTTGCAGTGAAGAAGCAGTGTATTGAAACTAGATGGCGAATCAGCCTTGATTTTGTAGACGAAAGTAATTCTCTCTCTCTCTCTCTCTCTCTCTCTCTCTCTCTCTCTCTCTC